GGATGAGAAACACAAGCGGATGAGCTTTCTTCTCGCCGTTTCTACACTCCATGAAATCATCCACTAGACGTAGCCTTGTTTCGCCGATTTTTGATGACCTTTCAATTTTCACCTTAGTCTTTGCGAATCGTGACCCTTTTTCTTTATAAAGAGATACGATGGCTTTGTTGCTTAAAGCAGCAGATATCGATATTTTGATGACGACGTGCAAGAAGGAGTCTATTCTGAACCGACCCATGGAAGAGGTTTCGAAGTGAGTTAACTTCTAACACACCACACTGTCGCCTGATCCTTTAAACGATATGGCATTTTAGGCAACAACTTCGGCGAGTCTCAGAGTCGTTCACAAAAGGTCTAGCCAGAAAGTTCCCTTTTGTAACGAATTTTAAGTGAGTTATGGTACAAAATATTTGCGGAGTATATCCTGATGTCAATTTTTTTAAATTCATATTCAAGTATACTCATCTTTCATCAGGCTATCTTCATCCGACAAATGTGTATTTGAGGATTTGCGAAGTTCTGGTCTTGTAAATGATGCACCTGCAGAGCCCCTTGAGCAAGAGACAGAGGTACGTTTGTAGCCCAATTCCTCTTGACTTTTCATGTGTTTTTACTTCTTGTTGCCATCGTGAAAGTCTTACTGTAGCTTACTTCATCACTTTTAGATCCTCTTTGTCGACCTGTTGTCGTTAACATACAGTCCGCCATCGAAAATAGAGAAACTTATACCAACTCATGTTGTGAAGATGTACACACTNGTAGCTCTGCTACTTAATACTGCCATTATATACCTGTCAGAAGCGTATGTTTTCTCGAGACCTCTATTTAATATGATCAGAAAAGTATAGATGGTCTGATTTTCGGAATTTATTTTTCAGGATTTTTGAAGTTGGCCTTCTAAGAAATCCAGATAATATTGGAAGAGCCTATATTCTATCAGCTCTGTATCGTAATGTCATTGATCTTACTGTCAGTTTGACGAATGCTGTATCTCGGGCTGTGACAAACTTCACCAGCGAAATGTCAAAAGTGAGACATTATGAAGAGTTTTATTCTCAAAAGCGAAACACACGTCTGCTTGTCCACCTTGTGAAGCGTTTTCTGAAAAGTTTCCTTTAAGAAAAAGGATGCCAGTACTTTCCTGAGAAATGAATGGAATATTTCGGACTCTTTTTGGACTAATTATTAGTCCTATTTACATTTTCGAAAAAAAAAATCAAAAAAATTTCAGGCTGAGAGCATAGATTGTGCCCTTAAACTGCAAAAGGACGTCGTCTTCCAGATATTCGCAGTAAGTTTCGTTGTTTTTCTGGTGTTAAGCCTAGTCTTAATAACGTTGGATCACCGCAAGCGAGCGAGTGACTTCTCTTCTATTCATTGGGCTTCCACCCACCCGAACCAATTTTTCCTCAACAGGTTTTCGGGAAGGGATTGTCAATTGGGAATTCCATCCACTGCTGCGAGCCCTTTCATCTTACGACGAGCAGTAAATTAGCTCGCAAACAAACGTTTTCCTCATTTTTCTTAGAATTTTAGTATATATTTCAAGTGGATGTAGGAATTCTATTGTTAGCATTGCCCAAGCCCTGTTGGATAGCCCTGTGTGGCGTGTGGCTTTCATCCTTCCTGCTTCCTTCGGCGCGAGTTTTTCTATCTCCTGTCACTACTTCGTTCATCGATAGAGAACGACCCCCGTAATGGGAGTGGCCAATCAAATGCTTGCGCCTATAATTTCCTGCAGTTTAGTTAATTTGTCATCAAGGTTTTTTTTAGGAAAGTGGATTGAATCAGTGGCGAAAAGTATCCTACTTAAAACGCCTCATGGATTTGGTCATACGGCTGGGAGTGACGGGCTTACTGGTATGTCTTTTATTTTTCCCATACTCAAAGATATGACCAGAAGTGGCGGATTTTAGAAGTCGGCGACGCTTGCTGAAGATTACTATGTCATATTGGAAGCTGTGGAATCGATGCAGCTTGTTGAGTAGTTGTTATGTACTTGTTTAGCTGCCATTACTCTTACTGCATGCCTTACTAATTCACATGGGCATTCCGGGTGAACTACGGTTGTAATTTTTTTGTAATGTCAGTGCATTGATTTCATGAAATTGCCCTCATAGATTTTTCACATATTTCTCACTTTTACTACCGTTTTTGACTTGAAGACTATAATATTTTCTTAATTGTTCTTAATGTTGTCAGTGCATTATTTTCATGGAATTCCCTCACAAAATTCCCATATATTCTTTATTGTTACTACAGTATCGGTGTATAAATACTATACTCTATGCTTATTCTGTATCAGTGTCCATGGTATGATTACATATTCTCTGGCTCGATTTGTAATATTGGTTCGTTTACATCTTGGGATCCGGTCATTGATCCAACGTTGATAGTCCCCATCCAAACTAACTTCTTCAGTCGAGGTCGTTCACTACTCGGTAGCCCTCGCATGCTGTTCACAGAACTCAAGCGGGGGTGCTGTACAGCAAGTCCGGGTGACGTCTTGGCTTATATTCTTCAAGAACATGTACGATGGGTCCAGATCAAACATACGTACTCCTCTAGTCTAAAAAGAGCCGTTGCCGTCCTAGTTGGGGTACATCAATGGCCCTGACGCCATTCCTCTTCCTACTGACTTTGGAAGGCGTTACTGAAGAACTGAATGTGCTGCTCAAGATCATCCTCTATGCTGATGATATCGCTCTGATAGCGGGAAGTCAGGACGAGTTTCAGGACAAGCTACGGAAACGGCAGAATGTTCAACGGAAAGTGAGGTTCGACTGAAAAGCACGAAATTACTCAGCTAGAAAGACGCTCGGAACCAAACGTAGATTATATAATTTAAGCCATGGAAAGAGTGCTTCCGATAGCTAGGGGTTGACCTATCTGCTGACGGAAATGTGAGTCAGGCTAAGAAGATAAACGCGGCATGGAAAAATAGAGGGAGTCCACCGGTTTCCTCTGCGACGTCGGTGATCCGGAACTTCAAGGGAAAGTCATATAGAGCAGTTGTGAGACCGGCAGTGCTCCACGGCAACAAGTGCTAGCCCGTCAGCAAGAATCTTGGAAGGCAACTTCATTTGGCAGGCGTGGGAAAATGAGAGGTAGCCGAGGTTGGATTCGGATGGAATCG